CCATCCATCCATCCATCCATCCATCCATCCATCCATCCATCCATCCATCCATCCATCCATCCATCCATCCATCCATCCATCCATCCATCCATCCACTTTAGTCGCCTTCTCCTTTCCAGGTTGTGGGGGCAGCTTGTACCTATCTCCAGTTGTTATTGTTCAAGGAATAGGGGACACCCTGGACASGTCTCTAGTCCCAGGGACACATAGAGACAATTTAGAGCCACCAGTTAACCTTTCATGCATGTTTAATTTGTGGGAGGAAAGCAGAGYACCAGGAGAAAACCCACTCCACATGGAGAGAACWTGTAAACTCCACTCAGTCTGGGAGGCGAACCTGAGACTGTCTCACTCAGTTCTAACCGCTGCTCCATAGTGTCGCCACTCTAAACATTTGATATAATGTAAAATCTTTTGAACCCACAAAACAATGTGCTATTTTATATTTAACAAATAATCTTAAATAAAGTGTTAAAGGTTTGCGGTTTTATCCACTTGAAATGGGATTGCAGTGATGTAATGKTCTATAAATAATTAATATCTGTTGGGGGAGAAAATCAATAGAGTGAGTAAGAGTATATAAACAGTATATGCAGTGGAGCAAATGAGAGGAGATGGATGGATGGATGGGAACCCCACCCAGGCCTGATTCCTCTCTGCTCCGTTCAGCTGTGGAGGAAGTATTATTTCTTCAGAACATGTGAGGGAGGACGAGCATTTCTGTTTGATTGAAACACATTTGTTCCACTCAGTGTTGAAGATGCTGCTGGTAGGTTGTCTAAATATAAAGCTTTGTCCTCCTTAAATCTAACTTTTTTTGACAAAATCTCAGATCTAATGAACTAAATCTGTTGACATAAGAAGTGTTTTTGGGTAGAAATGAATCAGCTTCCTTTCTGTGTTCTGCATGCTTTATCTTGACTACTTCCTCTTTTCTCTTTATGTTGCAGTGAATCTACAAACAGCCTCCATCTGTTGACCTTATAACCAGCAGACTGGCCAGAATAATAGGATTCTGCTGCTTCCTTTGACCCAGAGTGAGTGTGTCTGGCTGAGGGTCTTAGTTTTATGTCTAAATTGGATTGTATTTTAGCTGGAACGGTTGTGCTCTGGGTCTGGCGTGAAGTTGCAGCAGTTGCACTTCCTCTTAAAGAAAGCAAACTCCGTATTCAGAGCCTGAAAAACATCACAGAAAAGAACAACTCTTGAACTGAAGAGCAGAGCTTCACTTCCAGCAGCATTTACTGAAATGTGCACATTTTTAAAATGTTCCTTTTGTCTTGATAGTTTTTCAGCACATCCTAACAGATTTGCTTTAGTCAATGTGACTGCTAGCTTTGCTTCTTGGACATGTGGACACTGAGAACAAAGCTTTGCTGGTTCTGGAAGACGATCTTGTAATCGGGTGTCTTGCTCAGGCAAAATCCACTCCTGGTGCAGCCATGGAGGGTCTTGAACAACTCGATGTGGTTGGTGATATCAGCCCAGCTCTGGAGGCAACAGAGGACTTCATCCACTGCATGGACAGGATGCAAGGTCAAGGTCCCAGCCTGGCTCAGGCAAACCACTGGCAGCCTCCGAGGCATCCCAAGCAGCTACAGGATGTGTCCAATGCTGCTCTGGGGAAGCTGAGCTCCAGCGGTGTGTGGGGTCTGCTGGCTGGTGAGCAGCCTGAGGTCGGGCCACTGGGCCTGGCCTGGGCCGACAACATCAGCGTGCTGGGCCTCGGCGTGGGCTTGAGGCACGGCAAGAGAAGCCGAGCGCGATCCACCAACGACCTGGYGGCCCATATTCAGGAGTGCACCACCAACGCTGGCAACTCCTCGTCCAAGTCCGTTTTTAAAAAGGGACACAACCGGTCCAGATCAGACGTTAACTACCGTCCATCTGCTTACACTGACAATGGACTGCCCACAGTGGACTGCAACACGCTGAAGAACATGATCCTCAACCAGCAGCAAGAAGGTGAGTTCACTTTGTGTCACTATTTAAACATGAGCAATAGGATGTGTTATAAAATAATCTTTCATTATCGATTATATTAAAAATGTTGAAACGTTTAAAGGGGCAGTATCATGTAAAATCAACTTTTTGAGTTTTATATCATGTTATAATGTTATACTCTTATAAAAAAACATGTCCAAAGCCTTACTCTGACTCATTCATGCATGTTTGAGAAATCCTGCAGTGTTTTTAGGAAGCCATGCTGAGGAGCAAAACGACAGGTAGGGAACAGAAATGCCTTTTTGTTACCAGAAACGCCCCTGGGACGTGTCTTTAACAAGTAGGGGTCTCTGCGGACGAGTGGGCGTGCCCCAACGAAAGGCGATTCTAAAGCGACACACCTGATTTGATTGACTTTTTTAAAGGGACACACCTGACTGGACAAGCAAAAAGTGGCGTCACCGTACGGCACCACTTGATTGGACAAGAACAAAAGGGGCGTTACTGTACGGCACCACTTTTTCTGGAGACCCCTACTTGAGTCACATTTCTCCTGGTTAACCTTAGTGTTGGAGTCAGGGTCAGGCTGTAAAGAGGTCAAGCAGGATCTAAGGATACGTCATGTAGGCCTCGTAGCCCACAGTGTTTATGCTTTAGACACGCCCACTCTTGTGACACACCCACTTTGATTCCGCAGATAACCCCTTCTCGTCTTTAAGCCGAACTTCCTCRTGGCATACCCCGCCCATGACTCCTGCAGGCTCTCCGGTGAAAGTGAAACTGAAACTGTCTGCTGAGCTTGTACCATTAGCTCTCACTCAGTGAAGCTCTTTTCAGATTAAAAATACCTTTGAGGAAATGTATTTTCAGATTCCAAGTAAACTGCATCATAGCAGCCCCCCACCACCCCGCACTGAAATGGGCGAGACAGAAGTGGAAGGTGGTTCTTAAAGAGACAGAGGCCAATTTCAAGGCGTTTAGAAGAGGAAGTGATGAGAAAATAAGTTTATTTTCTATTTAAACATAAAAACAGCATTTTAATAACAACTAAAGGTGACATAGATACTTTATTATGGTATAGTATTTAAATATATGCCTGAGAAACACATAATATTGCCTCTTTTAAGTTATACTTGTTTTGGACAAGAGTTTACAATCTTTTACATCAGCAATGATTCCACAATTTTCACTTTGTTGTGTTAATGTTTTCCTTTTGTATTATGCACGTAGCAACTTTGAACCGTCACATAGACATCCTAATAATAGAGGTTCTGTTGYGTCGCCTTTGCCAGTCTTGTCTGACTCACTGTTCTGTATATTCCTTTGTGTTTGGGGAGATATACTGCATAAATACTAGGTTGGGCATAATCATATCATGTGTAATTAATCACCAGAAAAACATTAATCGATTACTTTTTGGCACTTGACGATTAATGCCAGCAGGTAGAGTCCGCTCTGTGCTCGTCTCCGTTTCAAATATGGCGAACATTAAAAAAAGGTTCTGTAATTCATTTATCTATTAACACGATTTAAAATTTGATGCATAGCCTGAAGTTTGTAATTTTGACACAGTTTGGAACATATTTTTACGAAGCGCAAATCTTTCCTACTAAATTGTTCATGTGACCAGGATATATAAGGGTGTCCAGGGACTCCATGGGCTTAATCATCTAATTAATCGTTATCGGCTAAATACCCCAATTAATCGTGATTAATTTTTTTGCCAATATTGGCCAACCCTAATAAATACATCAATATTTATGATTCTATTTTGCTGCTTGTTGCATTATTGGAGTGTATGTGGGATTGTAAAAGTACTAACCGGTCCAGTATTTCCACTTGGGGGGCAGTTACGCCAAAAAAATTAAAAAGACTTGCGCATGTGACTCTGCGTATGTCAGCRTCAGTGACGCAGAATTTGAACCACGTTTTCATCTATTTTTCCCTCATTCCTCAAACACGAACCTGGAAGACACTGATGTGCAGACTTCTGTTGTGGGTTTGGTTTGGATTTTAYCTGAAAATGAGGTAAACAGAAAATGAACGACCAAGCTGAAAGCACCAGGAAGAAATGAAGATTGAGGYGTTCCCATAGATTCCACAACATCACAAAGAAGCACAAAACATCATAACAGTTAAAGCACGCTGCAGCTATTCCACTCTGCGGTCCATGTTTAACAGGAGGCTGTAATAATAGTAATTGTTTTTACTTACTGCAGAACTTCTTTGCTATTTAAAGCCAATTGAATTTCTTTGAACAAAATTGTAATTTTGAGTTCAATAGACTRTTGTTTAAAAGCAGACTTGGTTCCTGCTTTTTTCTCACATTTCTAAGCAATATTTTAACATCTGACCAGTGGTGGGCAGCGCTAATCCAAAAATTAGCTCGGCAATTTCTAAAGCGCTTATGTAAATATTTAGG